GGGGCGGGGGGCGCGGTCGCAGGCTTCTCTCCGTCCCGCCCTTGGAGTTGGTGAGCTGTAAGAGCCGGCCCTTTCCTTCCCGCATAGCTGCGTAAGTTCTGTGAAATACCCCCTCTCCTGGCGCCGGAGGCCTTTGCTCTTCAACTCCCGTAGCCAGAGCTGACGCGCTTGTTCCCGCGGTTGCTCTCTCCTTCCCCCAGCAGTACTTTAGTTATCCTTTCTCTTGTTTGCTCATACCTCTAGGGTCCTCCTCGGACAGACCTGCGTATGCACACTGTTTCATCTGCCATGGAGCCCACGTCTGATCTACAGGTGGTGTGGGTTAGGCTTCCTGGGAGGCGACCCTGAGGGACATAACCAGGCACCGCCTGCAGTGGTGGAAAGGAAGGAACAGACGCCAGACTGGCCAGAAGGAGAAGCTGAGCTGTGCTGCATTCCCAGGAGGTCTCGACCAACCCTTCAGGGGGTTCCGGAGCTGGGACGGGCCCGCAGGGTAGTCCTGGACTGGGGGTCGGGGGCTTGATACCCCCGGGCCGCTTGTCGGTTCTCTTTACCCAAGGTGATCTATCCCAGCTGAGAGCTGCCTGTGGCAGCGCTTCCAGGAGCCGAGAGGCAATTCCTTTAGTCAACAGAACATCGACCACAGTAGTGAACTAGTCTTCCCCCGAGAGCTCTGGGAATGGAGTCCAATTCTATCTCCAAAACAATCTCTCCTTCACTCCCTCTGCCACAGTGGATAGTCTTCCATTCTCTGACCCTCTAGATTTTCTTCAGGAGGCCAGACACCACGCCTTTGTGTTCTTCAAAATCCAGGGGATACCTTTAAAGTTCCTCGGGTAGTCGCCTGAGATAAAGGGAAACATTTCCACCGTCACAGCACCTTCAGGACGGTCTACCTTTTCAAATCCTTTCTGATTTCTAACTTCCAGTTTTTATACCGTCAGTGTGAATCAGAGGTTGAAGGGATCACCCACTGTTTTCAAAGGAGTTGGTTTCTGATCCACACCTTTGAAAGTTTTTATCCTCGCACCTCCTTTGGCATGGGCCTCAGCTGAACGCTTTCACAATTATACAAAAGCCATCATCCCCTGCCTCCCAACAAATGTCCAGAGTAACTATGCTAACTTCCCACAACTTGTAAATTCAGATGACAAGTCTGGAACTGAGTGCATCTCTTCTTTCCCACCTCTTCTCTATCCCGTGACATCCCTCTGATGCACGCTTCTTCACTCAGGTCAGGCTGATTTTCTTCTCCTCATAGCAGTATGGTTTCTGTTTCCTTTCAGTGCTTTCTGCCAGCCTTGCATCTTTCATAGTCTAGCTTCCTTCTCTAAGAAACTTTCCCTGGTCAGTCACATCTTTGGAGAGTTTGTCGCATCAGCAGTTTTATTTCAACAATCATTACCTACTGTGTGCAAAACACTATAGCTGCTGTTCTTGAGTTGTTCTCCAGTGGTTGAATCTACATTCTATCACTCTTGGCTTGGGTAGTTGTTATTTGTTGTTCTTGAGCTCCTTTTGGGTACATAACGTGGTGCCTATGACTGATGATCCAAAGAAATGCCAAATGTGTTCCCAGCTCTCAGAAAGACTATTTGTTACTGCCTTCCTTAATAACTTTTAAACAGCTTTGGACATAATTCAAAACACAAGTCCAGGCTTACTGAGATCCTGGAGATGTCCTCCTGTAATATAGTGATCATTGACTGTCTTTCGCATGACAGATACCACATACACGTTCAACATGCATACTGATCTTGGATAACTATTGGTCAGTGCTGAGGTAACCAACCGAGTGAGCACAAAGGTGATCACATCTTGGGTGCTAGCAGATAGTATGATAGTGTGGTTGTTTTTCAACATATTTCTTAATCCTAAAACATGACATAATTTAGTATCATTTCTAACCTTATAATCTGTTTTTCTTCTTTATGCTGAATTTAACCCATATACTCCACTCTACATTTCAAGAAGTTAATTTTGAACACAAAAATATAACGAGGAGTAAAATCTCTGGCAGGTGACTTGTTAAAGATGGCCCTGAAAATTTAAAGGTATGTTTCCCATGGAAATGTGAAGTTTATGACTAAAACAACTACATAATTTGTGGACCCAGTGGGAAATGGAAATGAAGTGCTCAGTGTTTTAAAGTTATAAAGAATTTCAAGATGGCAACAGCAGAGCATTAAACCAGATGTGGTCCCCTTTTGAGTTCAGGCCATGTGTGAGTACACAGGGCATTCTTTTTTTTTTTTCAGACTTTAACTTTTTAATTTTTTTTATTTTAAACATTTTTTATTTTAAAATTGTGGGGTACAGTTAAGGGTTAGGTTTACAAATATGCATCATTCAGGCACCCTTGTTGATAAGGGGTGTCTCCCTGTCCCCAGACAGATACTGACTATCATTAGTCCCATCTCCCTTTCCCTCCCTACCCCCCCCCCAGTTTCCCACCACTGTCAGTCCTTTTCTTGTAGTATCATGATAGATGTTCAAGGTCCACTTATGAGTGAGAACATGTGATACTTAGATCTTTGTTTCTGTGAGAGATCACTCAGTATTATAGACTTAGGGCATTCTTTGTGGGGTTGCATGCACATGAAACCAGCCTGTTTATGACTCCTCGTTTTGAATCTGAATGAGCTTTGACCAATAAACTATGACTGAAATGGCACTGTGCTGTTTCCAAACCCAGTCCTTGTCAGAATGGCAGTTTCATTGTCTGTGTCTTGGAATACTCTGGGACGCTTTAGACGCCATGTAAAAGAAACCTACTAAAAGTACCCTGAGACTGCGTGACTGGAGAGGCCATGTATAGGCATTCCAGGTGACAGTCTTGGGCCCACCTTGGGAAGCCATACTTACCAAGGCATGCAAAATGAATGAAGACATTTTGGATTCTTCAGACCAGTCCGTTCACTAGCCAGACGCTAAGTGACTTCAGATACACGACAAGGGAGCAGAATCACCCAGCCAACCTCTGCCCAAATTTCTGACCCACAAAATCATAAGATAATAGTATCACTATTAGTTTAAGTCACTAAATTTTGGGGTAATTTTTTCCTCACATCTGTAATAAAAAAAAATTTCTGCACTTTGTCTAAGTAGCTTGTAAAATGAATAACTCATGGTGCTGCCTTGTAAACACTGTGATTTGTAGAACAGATATTATTTGAGTAGGATAGTGTGTGTTTGGTCCATAGACTATGAATCTCATAATCACTTGGGACACTTGGTGAAAACTGATGTCTTCTGATTTTTAATTTCTGAGACTGAAACTTACAAATTTGCACGGTTGTTTAGCTCTTAGGTGAGTATTATTTAAAATACTTGTGTACTTTAAATAATCTCAGAACCACTGAAATTACATAAGAAGTGTGGCTAGGAATGATCTAATTTCTTACCACTCATTGCAGGGTCCACAGACAGCAGCAGCAGCACCTTGGCACTCGATAGGAATCAGATTCTCAGATGCTGTCACACACTGACTGGATCACAATTTAAAGTTAGAGAGATCCCAGGACTCTTACTCTATTTTATGAAACGAAGTGTTGCCCAACTCAATTAAAGATAAAGAACCTCAGGTGATCTGAGTATACATTAAAATGAGAGAAACACTGCTGTAGAATAATAATTCTTAACCTTGGTTGCACGTTACAATCATTTGGAGAGCTTAAAAAAAATAAAGACTGTTGTCTGGGTCTTGTCACAGACCAATTAGATCGGAATCTCCAGGAATTGGAGACTGGCCATTAGTAATTTTTAAAAGCTCCCCAGAGGATTTTGATCAGTAGTCAAGGCCGAAAGTCAACCTCTGCCATGACCTCTGCCATCTCATTATTGCCAACACATGTGCCATCCCCTTTGCTAACTCCCTTGGCATGTGTTTACACACGTCCAGATTTCTGTTTGAGCCCACTTTTCTTTCATCCAGTTCATCATAATACATACCATGTCGTCTTACCATATCCATTATACTGTGCTTCAATTTTAGAGATAGACGTGGCCTCATAGATGGTCGTAACGTCCCCAAGACAATGTATCACATTGGAGTATAAATGACCTATCTAACTGTAAATTCCACACTGAGTACTAGTCTTTGAAAAGAACTCTGCAGAAGAAAGGGATTCTAGTTCTCATTAAAATTATCAACCTTTCCAAGGCTGGTCCTGTTCAGTTCTACCAAATGAACTCTCACTTTGAAAGTCTCTTCCTACAAAGTCTGTAAGTATGACCAATTTTAAGAACTAATTAACAATAGGAGACAATCCTATTAAGAATCTGTGATTTAACCCTTCTACCACTGGGGGTCAGTATAACTCAGAAAAAATTAATTTGGCTCTGTGTATAAAAAGGATCACTAATGGGCTGGGCTCAGTGGCTCAAGCCTGTCATCCCAGCACTTTGGGAGGCCAAGGCGAGAGGATTGCCTAAATTCAGGGGCTCGAGACCAGCCTGGGCAACTTGGCGAGACTTTATCTCTACAATAAATCAAAAAATTAGCTGGGTATAGTGGCGCATGTCTGTAGTTCCAGCTACTTGGAAGGCTGAGGCAGAAGGATTGCCTGAGCCCAGCAGGTTGAGGCTTCAGTCGCCTTGAGCGTGCCACTACACTCCAGCCTGGGCGACAGAGTGAGACTCCAACAACAACAACAAAAGGATCATCTATAAGGACCTCTATTCCTTTGGGTAGATACCTAGTAGTGAGATTGCTGGATCTACTTTTAGTTCTTTGAGAAATCTCCGTACTGGTTTCCACAGAAGTTGTACTCATTTACACCCCTGCCAACAGTGTATAAGTGTTCCCTTTTCACCACATCTGCACCAGTATCTATTGCTTTTTGATTTTGTAAGTAATGGCCATCCTGACTGGTGTAAGGTGCTATCTCATTGTGGTTTTAATTTCCATTTCCCTAATTATGAGTTGATGCTGAGTATTTTTTCATATGTTGGCCATTTGTCTATCTACTTTTGAGAGATATCTGTTCATGTCATTTGCCCACTTTTTAATGGGGTTGTTTGCTTTTTTCTTGCTGATTTGTTTGAGTTCTTTGAGGATTCTGGATGTTAGTCCCTCGTCAGATGTATAGTTTGTCAATATCTTCTCCCATTCTGTAGGTTGCCTATTTGCTTTGTTGAGTTTTGTTTTTTGTTTTGCTGTGCAGAAGCTTTTTAGTTTAATTAAGTCCACTTATTTATTTTTGTTCTAGTTACATTTGCTTTTGGGGTTTTAGCCATAAATTCTTTGCGTAAGCCAATGTCCAGATGATTTTTTTCGTAGGT